GGGGAAGAGTTAAAAATACCCTTTATTAAAACTCATTAAAATTCACAATGCTTCGACTTGACTCTAACACACTACGCCTCACTCGGGCGGTAACTCAAATCACAAGAACTAAATTAAAAATTCGAAGATATTAACAAGTAGTAGAAATCACGTTTACAGGGCTCAGAAAAACTCCTGTTACTTAAAACCGCGAAAAAAAAAACTGGTGGAAGCAAAGTAATAGCTGTTATGCTACTTAAACCAGCAATAAATGCCAAAAATAGAAGCTCATGCTACAGAGGTGACGGCGATTGCCCAAACTCTCTCACTTTCCTTCTGAAACTCGGTATTTAAACTTTTTCTCCTCAAGGTAGAATTTGCATTGCTTCACGCGCGCTACCAAATATTCTGGCATTGATAATTAGGGAAACAAAGGCTTGTAGGAAAGGACATAAACTTAAATTAAATCGGTTATTTAAAATAAATATATATCTCTACGAAGTTACGCATAGGAAAGGTCCGAAACTTATACCCGGCCAACCCATTCGCCATAATCGTATCATGGCAAGAAGCCACTGTTTCCACTTCGCAACTTGGGTAACGAATATTAATGTTAAAGAAAACAACAACTAAAAAATAAAAAAAAAACTCAGAACTTATTAGCTGTTGCTAAGCAAAATTTTCGGCATCATGATTATCTCCTAAAATGAAGATTTCAAAATTTTCTTAATCATATTGAAAAATGAATATTTGTTGATAATATTTTAAGGACGAAAATAAGAGTAAATGAAATATCTGTCAATTTCATTGCATTTAATAGAATTCGAAATAGCAACGTAAATAAACTTAGATAATTTTTAGAATGTAAAAGGGTTTCATCATGAAAATCATGTTCATTTTGACATTAGTGCTGCTATCTACATAGGATTATTAGTGTAAACTCGAGTGTAAGTGTCATGCCTTTTTTCGGGGCAGGTGCTTCTTCTTTTGCGTTATGTATTTTCATAAAAAGCCTTACCGTTCTTATCGTCGCTGGAACTCGTAGCGCCGCGTGCTTTCCTTCCATAGGCATTTATCTCATCGACGTAAAAACAGCTAGCTTTCATGTTATGTTCTAAGAGATAGTCAACGTCTCATAATAAATAAAGTACGTGTTTTCCATTAATTGTTCTAAGGACAATTTTTTTCTTTCCTTAGAAATCAAAGGCCATCCTGATGTTTAGCAACTCATTTCCTATCAGCTTATATATATGCATAAGCATTTCATTTGAAGTATAGTTTTTGACTTCCTTAAAATATAAAGTACTAGGTATCGGTAGGAAAGTCTAACAATTCTTGTCCATATACACATGGGACTTTGATCTTTTTAGAGGCCTCTCCATAAATATATTAATAAATTGAAAGTGACTGGTAATGAAATTTTGTATTTTTTTCCATGCCACTATAATGCTTCCACTTTGATATATAGCTATCAAGAAGTAAGATTGTGTGTTGAAAGTTTAATAGCATTATGAATATTATAATATATGAACATTATGAGTACTTTTATAATGATGCAGATGGTCTATGTGAATATGCAAAGAGTTTCAAACGCCATCGTAAGAAATGTTTTTGTTTGTTTCTTAATTTACAATATATGGTTTAGAAACCGTTCTTTGGAGCACAAAATACAACCACGCTCACGCTGCGATTCAAAGCAAGGATCTTCCATTGTGCTAGCAACGTGCTAACCGCTACCATAAAACGGTAATCTGAATATCTGATTATGGCTAAAACGACTGAATATCTGGCTACAGGTTACGGGGTTTCAATTTTGAATGCATCTCTTAACTTTCGACTAAATCTTTCTAGAGTTGCAGGTACATTATCTGCAAGAAAATATGATTCTCTGCTTACTTCCCAGTTATTTCGGATTCAAAATATTTCAACGTCTTTAGCAACAAGTTGAATGAACGTCTTAACGTTGAAAACAAAGCAAAATATGATTAATGTCGTTAAACATTCTAAAGAAAATACATAAAAGTAATGCCCAGATCATATGAGCTTATTTTCCTTTACTTAGAAGCGTTTTGTTTGCAGTTAATTAATGATGCGTAAAAGTTACAGCCAGATGCAAATTATTTCACTGGGCGCTCATGAAATGACCATATTGCGATTTCATTTTTCTTTCGTTGCCTCAGATTAGATAGGGGAACACAAAGAAGGAATATTGTAAGATATTTTTGTTACGCAATGAGAACGGTTTAGAATACCCAACCCACAAAAGTTTCGCCTGAAAATAATATTGCTATAGCTTCCTATAGTATTATTAAGTAAACTGTTGCTCAGATTTTTTTCAGGTAGTTATAGTTCCACACAATGTCTGTGCTTATATTCCTAATCTAGCGTTATATTTATAATCCTAACAAAATACTTGTTTAAAGACTTTTAACACAAATTTCAAATATTTGTAACTTAAATTAATGGTATTAATTTATTAATCATAGGGATAATGCAGTTCTAAGAAATATGCATAAAGTTGCAGTCAAGTTATAGAGACTGTCAGGTTTTTCAGGGCAGGAAACTCACAAAATCAGCCATGCCTTCGCCGGGATTTGAACCACGGATCTTCCATTTGCCAATCACTTACATCAGTAAAGCACACACGTCTTCGCTTTTTCAATTGCAGCTAGACATGTTAACCGTATACATCACAACAACATACCTGGAGGATTTGAGGGTTAGGGGTTATTCAATTATGGCAAAGCACACGAGGGCTATCTGCCTAAAGGGAGGGATACCTTCGTGGAGGACTTTCTAAGGGAAACTGGATCGTATACACGTTGCACATGGGGAAAACCACGAAAGCGCCCATGCAGCCAGCCCGTTTGCGGGATTCGAACCTCGGACTGAACTACCAGTGTTCAGCGTCTTTACCGCTCGGTCGCTCCTGGAGGATTGAGATAATTCCTTATAAAATTTATACGAAATTATACGAATATCCCTTGAATTTTGGAATCGTTCGAACTACTGATTTAATACTGCATAAATAATTGAAGTCGATATTAATTTATCATAATGCTAAAAAGGTGACAATTTGCGACAAGATGCGATAAATTGCGTACTCAACGTTCTTTTCGAAAGATTCGTTATGAACTCCGATTAAGTTCTTCATGATCATTCTGAGAGGGTGTTTCGCCTTCACATGTCGTCCTTTGTTCTTTTATTGAATAGAAATTTAAACTCTTGAACAACTGCAAAATACAAGAAATACATTGTTGTTTGCTTTTTGTTTCTTTTGTTTTATTATTATACATGCTTGTACTGAGCAACGAAGAGATATCTAAGATAAGCAATGAATTAAGATAAGCAATGAGCAACGAAGAGATATCTATAACTTATTTAATTAATGCAATTATCCTTTAAGGATAATTGCAAGGATAATTGCATTAATTAAATAAGTTAGAAAAGATATCAAAGGAATCCTTTCAAGATGAATATAGTATTAGTGATACAGGCAAATGTTTATGATTGTGATATTGTATTCATAAGAGGAAGCACATCGAAACGAATATCTTTCTCAAATCCTCCAAATGCAAGTAGCTGAACCAGCGATTGTCGAACACTGATCTGTATTTAATATGTGATTTAATGTCATCTGTATTAAATGATGAACGGTGTAACATGGTTTGAATAAACTAGCATTTGATACACTTCCAGTAATATTTTGTAAGAGCTTGATTTATTTTATGAAAATTGCAGTCGCAAGTGTGAGACAACAATCTTGTTAGAATTACAGACTCGGGTTGAGCTCTTCGCACGTACAGTCTGCATATCACAACTCATCTTCAACTAACTAGGACGCGACATACTCCTCTAGTGCTATTATATTTTGAACTGTTAATTTCTAACATTAAGTCTAAACGTTATTCTATTCTTAAAATATTGAGTTTGTTTATGAGAAAGTACGACCAGATCTTTTCTTAAATGCATAGTCCAGATGCTGCGTTGGTGATCTTGCGAATCTATCTTTTAATCTAACCTAATCAGCGTTATTCGTTAGAACACTGAACTTGCTTGACCTCACACTGATTTTTATCAAGTTGCATTGGTAATTTTAACTCCTGCATGCACTGTCATCTGCCGAGCATACAAACTTTCATAATGATCCAAAGAATGTGTGAGGTGATATATCTACTCTGCCCATGTGAAAGAATTTTTTCAGAAAACGTGATAAAGACTGAAACTATTTCTGTGTCATTCCAAAGAGGAGAAATATTGTTTTTAAAAAGCTTTAGATTTAAATAAAATATTTTCACAAAACATTTATACACATTCAGGATGCAGTATCTTAGTACATTTTTTTTCATTTATTATACTGGATGTGAAAATTTAATGCAGGATATGTCCTTAAATATTTTAGCCTGTTATGAATGAACAATATATGTGGCACATATTCACCTGTATATATCAGACTTTTGACTACTCATGTCTCTTGTCACATTACAAGTGTGTTTTGTATGAGATACTTTTGACAGGAGTGTTACACATCCAGTTTGTAGTCCAAAAGAATAAACGACAATGCATTCCTCATCTGGCCTCCAAATTCACTTTTTTTAGTAGGGGTATCTTGAAGATATTGTTTCTGTGCCACTTTTGCTACCTGAAATCCGCATTATTGAGATTGTCGAGCCCTTCACAACTTGTATGGATTAAAATGGAACTATACACTGGATGTTTCTCGCTTGACAGAAGGATCTCACATAGAGCATCTGTAATGTGTAAAATGAAACGTGATCAGATAAAGCTTAATTTGATGTGTCATAGGTTAATATGTACGAGTTACATTCTTTGCTACAATCATTTGTAACAGGATGATTCTTTTTGGCTTACCATGTATATATAACGCACATTTAACATACTTGAAATTTGATTATGCTATTTAAATTAGATGTAACATATTTTTCAGTGTTTCTTTTACTTATATATTTTTTCTTAAAAGAAAATTATTCTTATATATATCTGTATTTCTCTAAATTTAGCATCTCTTTCAAAGTCTACTATACCTTCCTCAGTACTGAATACGTCTCAGCCATTTACTTCTTATGCAGATTCTGCTGACACAGGTAATTGCAGAACTCTCATTTGAAACATGTATATATATATTTCTACACATTGTAAAATATCAAATACCTGCAGTGTATCATTTAGGAAACATATTAATTATATGTGAATATTCTAGTTGTTTTTAAATGTATTTTGCTCCAGTTTTCTTCTCACATGTAGGCACATATTGGCTTGTATGTACATGATGGCTTCGAATACAGTTTGTTAAGTGTTGAAAATATTTAATTTTTATTCAATCTGTAAACGTTTAACTAGATCGTAACTTAAACCTCACGAGTATTCTATGCAACTGAATAACAATACACTTTTAATCTGAAATTAAGATTAAATTGCAAGAGAAGGAAGAGATATATATGCATAAAATTGGTATATGGATAATATATTTTTAACTTTGGTTTATCTTTCTCTGTCTTGCATTCTTCAAAGCATATGTGCATTTTAAATATTGAAAGATTAAAATTACTTTAGATATGCCGTGCATCCTACTGAGAGTAATATCCATATAGTTTCTGAATGTAAATTCTGAGGACTATGTGGGAAGACAGGCTAAATAAAACCAGCTGCAAAAAAATCGACATTAATTGACATAGAATTTCCTTTAATAGAAGCGCTTTCGGCAACTGAGCACTTTCGCCTTTTTCAATTGTAACTAAGTAAATTCACATTGACTTTCTTGCAGCTCGGGAGAATACGTGGTTCGGATGAGTTACTAGGCTTCATAAAAATGTCAAGAAACTTTTATGTTTGTGATGGAATTTGTTAAAAATCTTCTACTTTGGTTTAAAAATTTATGGTTTTACGAGGATTGAAGCAGCATTTGCCATTTATTAGTTCACTTCGTTGACAAATATCAAAATTGAAATAAATGTATTCGAGATTTCCTTTTTTACTATTTTAATCAAGTACCTAACAAATCTTTTCAACTGTGGAATTATATTTTTGCTTAGTTCTTAGAATAAAAAACTTCTTGATACTACTAATGTGCCGCAATTTCATTATGGTATGATTGATATGTATCTGGTGATGTAGTAAGAACAGGTTAGGCAAAATAAAAAAAAGCATATTTTTAACCGTTTTCCATTATAATTCTTTCACTGCATGCAAAAATAGGCGTTATTTCACTTTTAATATGATGGAAAGATGTGCTTTCAAATTGCTTTAGTTCTGTTTTTGTTTCAAAGTGCTAAAAATATTTTAACAGAATAACAATGATTGGAATATTGTTTGTTATTCTGTTAAAATATTTTGAATTGAAATGCAGAGATTTTGTATGTGTAAGAATGTATGTTCCGCGTTTTTAAATAGTGTCCATGTATTTGTTGTTATTTAAATATTTGTGTCTTACTAATAACGAGTAACTGATTTATATATTTTTCTATGTAAAAATTACCCCCTTAATTCATATGTTTTAATACTTTCTTTTCGCGTTTGTGAAATCTTAGTCACAAATATGTTTGTTAATAACTAAGAACACTTTTATCAACAAATAAATTTGAAAATTAATGTCCTATATTACTGCTTAGCACACCTAGTGCTTAAAAACAGCCAACCACTTGTGGCGAGATGAATTAAAGTAACAGTACGTAAAATTAAAAATTCAATTTCAGATAGGCTACATAAATCAGTTTAAAAAAGTTTGATTAAGTGAAATTGGCTCAAAACTTAACAGAAGTGGATATCAAGTATTGGCAATTATAATGCAACCTGTGATAAATGTAGTTCTACAAACGGTATTATCTTGCTGATTCTTTATGATAAGTTTCTCAAGCTTTTTTTAAGTAGGCACCACTTCCATAAATTAGAATGATCTGTGGACCACCTATCGCTTATCCCCTTTGAAAGCAATTCTTTTTAGCTTATGCTGTTACCAGTATAATTATAGTTTTAAAATACAAAAATTTTTGAATTTCATTTAATTTTATATTGGTATTAACTAATTAAGTTGTTAAGATACTTTCTTTGAAACCATAAACTGTAACCAAACTTAAGATAGACGTTAATCGAATTACGGCTACGTAACAACTGAAACTTGAGTATAAAAGACTCTTTATTGCAAACTAAGAAGAGCAGGAGGCACACCTAGTGCTTAAAAACAGGCAACCACTTGTGGCGAGATAACTTAATGTAAGTAAAATGTAAAATTTAGATTCAAATAGGCTAATAGCCGAAGGCTACGAAAATCAGTGTAATGTGAAATTGTCTCAGAACTTGACAGACATGGATATCAACTATCGGCAGTTAGGAGAAATGAAAATAATGATCCAAAACATAAAATAACTCATTAATTAACATAAAGGAATCTTACATCTTCCTCCCCCCTCCAGAATTTAAGTGATCTCAATGTAGGTGTTAAACGGCTTTGGTAAGATCTTAAATTTTTAAATGAACAAGAGCTAATTTTTTTAAAAACAAAACAAAAAAAGTAACAATCTGAGCTTAAAACTGATTGCATTACAGATTAGTTTCCGCAAAACAACTCTTCTTAATAATTTTTTAATAATTCTTAATCATTTCCTTCAGCTTGTTTTCTTTCGATGCGACGATTTTTTTTTTATTTTTTTAAAGACATTATTTGCGGTACCCCGTCTTTTCCTTTCCCGAACTTGCATGCTTCCTTTCCCAAATTTGATGGAACTTTTGCGGCTTTTCCTGCTGGTACTGTATTTCTTTTAGGATGTGATTCTTGTAGATTCTCTTAGAAGGATATCGTTTCGACATATTAGATCGCTCATTTCACTGGACAACATTAGCAATCATCTCTTCCCCATTCTGTTCCTTTATCACCTACTCCATAATTCTTTCAAGGGTCCTTCAAATTCAGGGCAAAAATTTTCTCACTTTATCTTCGTTTCTACATAACACAGAATGCTTAATTTTCAGAATTTTATCTCTCACTTTAAAATTAAACTCGCAGTGTTTCTTGTCATTGTATATTTTTCCCTTGCCGTATCCAAATTAAGGATAGCTTTGTTGACTAATTTTGGGATATCTACGTTTTAAATTCCGCAGCCCTTCTTTTTAGAACGAAAAATAGTTTATCCAAAGGGATAATTAACTTCTTGCAAAGAAATAATTCAGATGGCGTTTTTCCGGTAGTATCACATTTAGCCGTGCACAAAGAAAACGCCAAATCATTGATATAGCTAATTCAGCGCTTATGATAATTTGATAATTCTTTGCATAAATACGAAAGTTTTCTTAACTATATTTTTATTTACCTGCTCTGCGATATTCGACTGCGGCTTTTTAAATGCCGTATGCCAAGCCCTTCGCAAAAACTCTCAAAGAATTGTTTAACAAACTGTTTTCCACTGTCTGAAATTACACTGGTTATCATAAATTAAGGAAAAATCATAAAAATCGCGATTACTGAAAAAGTTATATGTAGAATTTTATGAAACTTACCCACATTATACAACACATAGTAAGGTATCAAATAACATAAAAAGAAATTACCAGACAATTATGGTAGTATAGAAATTACCACATGTATAAAAATGAAAAAATCGAAGATGTCTTTCTATAGTAAAAGTACCTTCAGTATGGAATATAATCGCCTTTGGAAGCAATACAGCACATTCAGCGATGTGTGATGCTTTCAATTATGCGGTCTATCAGTTCCATAGGAAGCGAGAGCCATTGCTCTTGCAAAGCAGTTGCAAGCGGGTCAAGGGTCTAAGGGGACGGATTGAGAGCAGCTAGACGTCTCCCTAAAGCATCCCAAACGTGCTCGATAGGATTCAATTCCGGGGATCTAGCTGGCCACTCCATGCGCATAATTGTTTCCTGTTGAAGATAATCATATACGATGCGAGCCCTGTGTGGTCTTGCATTGTCGTCCTGTAACAGGAAAGCATCACCTATTGCCCCGCATATGGGCGCACATAAGCATCAAGGATGCCATCTCTATAAACATGAGCATTCACGGTTCCCCTTGGAAAAACATGTAGGTCTGTGCGTCCACCCAAAGAGATGCCACCCCAAACACAGACACTGCCTCTTCCGTATGCATCTCTTTCACGGATATTTGACGGATGATAACAGGTTCCGGGTTCTCTCCATATCAAATAATGCCTACTATGGCGTTCTAGACTAAACCTGAACTCATCCGTAAAGAGAATAACCCTCCATTACTCAGGCGTCGAGTGGACATGTTGTCGTGCACTCTGCAAACGGTCCCTCCTATGGCGTGATTTGAGCAGCACGCAAATGGTTGTTCGCCTCGCATACAGACCACCTTCGTGAAGTCTTCTACGCACAGTTGACGTTGACACCAACCTTCCGGTGGCTGCAGCAAGGGAGGATCTAAGAAGATTCGGAGTAGCGGTTCTATTCCTGCGTACACATAATGTCAAATATTGGTCGTCGTAGCTGTTGGCTGTCCTTGGCTGAACCTCCTAGGTGCCGAATCTGTGATTTTAAATTGCCTCCAAAGTCTATGAACCACAGAAGGACTCACATTTAGCCATCTGGCCACTTCTGTTTGACTTTGTCCTGCCTCTAGTCTCCCAATGGCTTTCTGTCGTAGTTCTGCAGGCAAATGATGCCTGGAGATCATTGTTACGAATTAGCTATCTCAGATTTCTGATGTCACTATCACAGTGAAATATGTGGGCTTGCTCTCAAACATGGACTTTTATGCTCCTCGCAGATGACGTATTCCGAGTGCAACGGCACTAATTTGCATATTGGAGTTTTACTCAGCTACTCTTACTTGCCAACATATTCAAATTTTACACGGTTTGGCTTATTTTTGAGATCGTTATCACTATTTTTGCGATTTTTCCTTAATTTATGATAACCAGTGTAGTTTTAATGGAGCTTCGTACTTTAAAATAAACTGTTGGGTATGCTGCTTTAACTGTGAGGCCGATTGTTATCAGCCAGGATGATTGCAGCGCTCTCACATATTATTTTAAAATAAACTTACTTAAAAAAGAATCTGACACAGTTTTAGCGGAGGCTTTTTTTGGGCGGAACTGTTTCTACCCACTTTGAA